ATCAAATAATATCGTCTCAAACGATTTAGCAACACTAAAATTATTATTATTCCCATTTCATTTAAAGAATTATTTGGTTACTAACTATAGTCAATTTAAAATATAATAAAATCATTAATTATGATTAATGATTTTAATATGATATATCCAATAAATATCAAGGACAATTAAATTTTTCAATAAAAAAAACTTGCTAAAGAAGGGACACAACAGAATCTACAATGAAATATTTACTGAAGAAATTATAGTTGCATAAATTATTGTGACTCTGGGCCAGTAATTGTAGCCATCACAGAAAAAAAAAACTAGAGGTTTTCCACCTACTATCGACTTTAATGAAATACCATCCTTAAGACTCTGTCAACAAAAAGAAATCAGTCACTATAATTTCATCAACTGAAACACAAAACAACTCAAGAGACAATATATCAACTATTATAAACCTTTAATATGAATATACAAATCCAAAACGAATCAAAAACCCAAAAGAAGAAAATATCTAAAAAAGAAAATAAAAAACAAAAAATGACAGCAAAAAATATATGATCCTAGTAGTACTAACATTAATTGCAAAATGAACATTTCCGAAACAAAATAAAACCATTATCTCATTGCATTCATATCAATAAAAGTAAAAAAAATGTAATCGTAAGGTGATTTTATATGTATATGAATCCAATTAAATATAATAGCTTATTTTTTATTTATATATCTTTATATTTTTATATTTTTAAAAGGATAATCATAATCATTAGTATATTAAGTATTATATAATTTTTATCATCAAATTATGAATTATTAATAAATCAAACAAATTGTATACATTTTATAACATTTATATTAATCACTAATTTTAGTTTACTTTATAACATTTTAATTATATGTTTATGAAACATTTTTTTTTATGCGCAAATTCATTATTGTACTTTTATAATCATTATATTTATAGATTTTTATAGTATATCTAGCACCATTTAATACATTTATTTCATTTTATTATACTATGCATTAATGTTATATTAATCAAATTATATTTTATATGTATTATTGTGCAAAGCTCTAGGACGCTTTCAATTTTTATTTGGGTGCTTATTTGTAATAGATATTTAGCACTTATAATTTTATTTTATTTATATTTTTATAATGATGAATTTTCTAATAAACCACATTATAATGGTAGATGATAGATATAAAACACCAATACCAGTAAGTGACATTAACTCAAATTAGTAGAATAATAGGTAAACCCTTTAAGTTTAATTGACTAGAAATAAGAAACATTTTTTAATGGAAATCTAAAACATAAATTTTCCCCCTCAAAAATAGGCATATAAAAGAGCGATTTTTAGCTCATTCGTCACCTTATTATTTCTAAAAATCTGGTCATGAAGCGTCTCTGCACCAGACTGTTTCGCAATTGTGCTCCCTCGGACTTAGAAACTTTTTCGTAATTGGTGTTTTTTTATCTAACTCTCTCATAAGTAATGTAATTAAAAAAATAACTTTACTTTTTTTATTTTTATCTTTAAATGTTTAAGAATTATAAAGTCAATTCAATTTTTTTAATTTTATATTTTGTGATTTGTTTCGATTCAGAATTTTTTTTAATTCTTCAATTGGAGTGTCTATTTAATAAGTGCATTTCGAAAATCTATCTTAGCACATTTAGCGGTTAAAACTATTGGTTAAGCAATATTTTATGACATTTCACTGAGGAGATCGTAAAGTGTATCTTAAATTTAGATAGATACGTGTTTGATTGATTGCATATGATACTGATGGTTTGTTTAAATCATTACCCTAGCACATCTAGCAGTTAAAACTGTTGGTAAACATTAGTTTGTAATGTGTAACTAGTGATTGGTTCTCATAATCTATCTGGTTCTATTAATTTTTGTTTAAACGTATAAAAGAACATACATATTCAGATACCAAGTATAGAAAGGAAACTAAGTGAAATAATATTTCAAGTTTAACCACTATTACAAAATTATAAAAATATATAAGTAAATAAAAGTCAGTTCTCTTGTTATTTTTCTTCTTGTATAATAAACGATCAAGCTACCTGGACATAAGGTAAGAAATTATACTTCTAACCATGTCATAAAAAAAAATTAAGATAAATTTAAAATAAGTCATGAATAATTTTTATCGTGGGAATAATAGAATTGCTTCTCGACGTAGATGATTTTAAAAATTATTATTAACAACTGTTTTATCATAATTAAAATCGCAATTGGACGTGTGTAACCTAAATGTTTCATTTGTATTTATCATTCATATAAAAAATAATCAAGCTATTAAAGCTTGGCGCCCAACAATCGAACAGTTGCATTTTATGTATACACACATTGATTCTTATATATACTACAATCAATAAAATATCAAGATAATCCATTGACAAATTATATATTTAACATTTTTTACCACATCCATTCTATTTATATAATAAAAACTATACATCCCACACTCTCTTTTCTCTTCTCACTTAATTTTTATGACTATTACACCCTTTCTTTTTTTTTTTCATGACAATTGAATTTCAAATTTTAAGTCTTGGATACTAGATTTTTTTAAATAATATTCGCTTGTAATTGCAAATAATAATCAACAATTTTTTATAGTAATGATTACGATAAATGATATCTTATATATTTATATTTAATAAAAATTTTGTACTCTAACATTTACCAAGCCAATATTTTTTAAAACAAATCATATTTTATTTAATAAAGGACTTTTCAATTATTATAAATTTATTTATATTATTATAATACAACTTATTTATAGATAAACAAGGTAAAAGTGATATTGGCCGATAAGATGTTACCTGATCTGGTGGTTTACCTGGTTTTAGTAACATTATGACCTGAGCTTTTTTCCATAGTTTTGGAACGTATTCAGTTCGTAAAATTGCATTGAAGATGTATGGAAGATAAATAATCGCCTTCTTAAGCAATTCTTTTATCATTCTCGGGCTGATTTCATCGTAACCTGGTGCTTTTTTTACATTGATGTTGTTATCAATTTCTTGCGCCACTTCTAATGGTGAAAAATATTTTATTTTCTCCCGGTTTCTATCTAATTGTAAACTATGAGTCCGTCAAGTTCTGAGACTATATTATTAGGTTTAAATACAGTCTCTAAGTAACATGCATATACTTCAGCTTTTTCATATTCACTTCGTGCCCACGTGCCGTCTTTGCGAATAGGTGGCACGTGTGTTAAAGGCTTTTTTAGTCGTTTAGTAGCTTTCCACAGAGAGTAGTCAGTATCTTGGGTTGCAGAAAGTTCGCTCAAGTAAGTTTTAAAAGTTTCGTTTTTCATTTCTTTTATTTTGTTGTGGAGTAACCGACTGATGTGGTTCCACTTTTTTTTGTCAGTAGGATGTCTCGTTCTATGCCACGTTCTCCTAGCTTTTCTCTTTTGTTGTACCAACTCTCTGATTTCTATTGGGTAGGTGATCTCTCGTATTCTTTCTACTGCAGCNGTTTCTATTGGGTACGTGATTTCTCGTATTCTTTCTACTGCAGCCTTAGGTGTTGCAGTTTTCACTGAGTTAATTATATTATTGGTAAAATTATGAACTGCCAAGTCAATGTCACTGGATGTTTGAAGTTTAACGGAAAGCGAAAGTGAATTTTCAAGTAACGTTCTGAATAAATCCCAGTTAGTTTTCTTAGTCGTTAAAAATACTTTTTTTTGTTTCATAATAACGTTTGTGCTTTGAGTGAGTAGTACGGGTGTATGATCGGATGTTAACTCATTGAGTCCTTCAACTTTTACATAATTAGAGGAAATACCTTTCATCACGTAAAAGTCTAGTAGATCAGGAATTTTGTTAACGTCAGAAGGCCAATAAGTTGGCTCTCTTGTAGAGACAGTTAAATGGTCGGTTTGACGAGGGAAACCCTTGGGCTTTTCACCCTTTCTGAGAGTCACTCTCGTAGGAGTTGATTCGGTCACTTAAGTACGACCGGATCATCCAGCAGAGGTACGGAGACACCCAAAACGCGTCCAGCACTCCGAGGATGTGTGACTATCACACGGAGTTAAACACGTTTCGCATGTCCAATAATACAGATGTTCAATAATATTATTGAACTAAAAAAGAGGTTTTCATTAAAAAAATCAAGTTCTGAATATATCCACTATATAGTATTAGATATATCTAAATATTTGAAAGATACTCGAAAATCTAAAGTAAGTTACTTTTTTGTAAACTGAAAAAATTGAATTTTAAATTTCAAAACGCCATATTATTGAACAGCAAACCATAAATTTCAAAGGTTATTATTTTCAAATAATCCACTTTTTCCACTACTCCGGTGACTTAGTAGTCATCGAGTATTTTGTCACCAAAATCTTAGAAAAATGTTAAAAATAAAAATTCTTTAGAAAAAATTGAGGTACCTTGTTTTTTCAGTCTATCTTTTACCATATTAATAACATTTATTAATTATAAACTCATCCCACCAAATTTATAGTTATATTCTTTACTTATTTAGTTAATGAATATACCGTTTTTAATATTTAATTTTATAAAAAATTAGTTCTAATTCCCGAATTTTTTTTCTTATAAATTATGAAATTCTTACTATATATTTACTATTAAATCAAATATATTTTTAATGTAAAGAATTTAGTACTTTTTATTTCAACTTTATCAAGTTGCTAAATATTGCTGGTGGCTTACATTCTCATAGTTTATAAAATACTATTCCCAAATGTATATAAATTGTAGAATCATTTATTTCATATTTAAAATAATTTTTTTCTAATTGAGAATTAGTAATTTAATTTTTGTATGATCACGATTTTATAATTTAACACGATAATAATTTACTTTGACAATTTTGATAAAAACAACGAACTTGATAAATTTTTTTATGCAATCTTCGATTAAACTTTTTTTTCAGTTAAATAATTAAATAGTTTTTACAATTACATAGTATATAAAATATCGAACACAATTTAAATGTTTTAAATCTAAAATGTTTAAAGCTATTTATGAGAAATAAAAATATTTTTTATTATTATCACAAACATATTATTAAATTAAAAATACACATAAAATAAGTTCAAATAAAAAAAAATTATAACATAATAAAATTTATCTAATTAATTTTACAGGTCTTCATTAGCTATCAATTCAATATGAGAGTTAGTATCATTATCAGGTTCATTAAAATCCAAATCCAATACTTGTCTTGATTTTTTGAAATACCATATTCCAAGAGATATTATATATTTTAACGTTACAATCATGATGAATAATGCAGCAATACATTTTAAAATTAATAAAACACTCCAATTGGGATTTTTTTCATCTGTAGAATAAAATTATAGTATTATAAAAATTAAAAAATGGAGTGAAAAAGTGTAAAATACAATACATTTTTTTATTTTTAGAAGTTAATAAATTCTATCATTTATAAAATAAATTTGGTCCTATTCCATCTCTTAGTTCCAATTAAAATAGTATCAACTACAGGCAAACAGTGTACTTTTAGGAAAACACTGAACAATAACATTGATACTGTTTACGAGTTTAAACAACATTATCTAAGTTTAAAAATTTAAGTACAGTCGGGATCCACCTAAGTGAAGTTGAGGCTTTTTTTTATATTAAAATTAATGACTTATGTTAATTAATAAAAAATTATTCTGACTGAAGATGTGTTCGAAATAACTTTTTAAAATTCGGGGCTCAATTCATAATTGTTGGAATACTTTTAGTTTTTTAATCATATAATATACAAAATAATTAAAAATTTTATTTTGAATATGGAAAAAAAACAAGTCTTCTATGAATAATCTTTTCGGAAAAAATTTCTTTTTTCTGTGTTATTTAATAGAAAAAAGTCCTCTTTAACGATATATTAGAAATGATCAGAGTAACTGAAATTTGGATTTCTACCTTCTTTGAATGTATACTATTGATTTTTGGAGAACAAATTTTTTTAGTCAGTCTATTACATATACAGGATGATTTTTTTATCATAATCTACTTAATTAATTACACAATATAAATAATTTAAATATTTTATTTTTGTTTTCTTTAAAGTTACACATTATTCTTGAATTATTAACTATGTAATACTTTTTAAGATCATATCTTATGCCTTGTAAGGGTGAAAACTGTGTTATTTTGAATAGAAATGTATATTTTGAATTTAATAAAATGTTTGAGTTTTTAATTTAATAGTAAATGACATTTGAATTGTTAATATAACATTATTAGTTTATTAGACATAAACATTTAAAGATTCAAATTTTTATAGAAGCAGATACTATGTTTTGTGTCAAAAAATTATTAACCAACTTTTTTGGGACCTTTTGTTTTTGTACTTCAAAAATCAATTTTTATTAGACATTCATGAAATTGGTTTTTACTCTCTTAAAAAATTGCTAACAGTGACATATCAGCTTTTGGATAATAGCCAAAAAATTAAATGATAAATTACATTGATTAGATATTTTTAAAAAATGCGTTTTCAAAGAATTATTGTCATTAATATTGACGTTTTGTAAAAGTTATTAATAATTTTACTGTTTTGTTACACCAAAAACAATGCTTACCTGTTTGTTGTTTTGATTGTTGTATCATCCAATGTTCTGCTTCATCCATGTGTTTGTTGATTTGAGTATAGTTTAATTTAGATTTGTTATGTAGTCCGGATGAGTCTAGAGTTAAATTTAAATCTATATCTTTTGAACTTCGATAAGATGTTATTGTCGGATTATTGAATTGTGAGATCACGTCATTATGACGTGATAAACTTTTTCTGGAACTATTATTCAATATATTGTTGCTTTTTGAAGTAGTAACATTTTCAAGAGATTCTGGTAATTGAATAATAATAAATTCTTTATTTTCTTTGGTTTTAATATCAGAATATTCAAAGACATTGCTGTTTCTATTTTTGTTTAATTTATTTATTGATTGTTTTGTTGTCTGATTTGTAAAACTGTTGTTTATAAATTCTATCGATTTGACTGTTGTCAGTGTTTCATTCATAACAAATTGATGATTAATAATTCCTGAAGAATTATTTAGAGGATAATGTGTCCATTGATTTTGTTGAGTAACTTTATTGGTCGAATAATTAAATTTCTTTAAGTTTCTAGGAGTAGAATATATCGTCGTATTATTATTCACGAAAGGATTAGTAAAAGTAGGGTTTTTAACAGAAATTGAGGTATTGCTAGGAAGAAATGTAAATTGAGTGTCCGGTAAAGAGGTCGATGTGATTATAAATGAATATAGAGAATTATTCGTGATTGGAATAATTGTAGTAGTTATATTTTTTTGTGCAATTTCTCTACTGGCTGAGAAATTTGTTGTATGTATTACACTTGCAATAATTTTTGTATCATTATGAATTGTCTTATTCAAGTTAGATTCAATGGTTAATTTACTGTTATCATTAATTTTAGGCCAATTTGTAACTGGTATAGTTACTGTAAATGGTTTTATTGTTGAATTTGTATAAGGTATAGTAAATGGAAAGGTGGGATAAGTATTATTTGAAGTAGGAATTTGAACAATAGTAGTAGAACTTAAATTAGATTTTGATATTGTATGAACACTATTTGATACATTCCCAATGCCATAAACGTTAGATGTAGAAAACAATGTAAAATTTCCTGATTTATCTTTAATGCTATATGGTTTTTGAGTAGTTAGTCCATTGATTCTAGAATTTACTGATATCGTCGCCTTTGTTGTAGACAAGTACATCTTAACAATTTCTGCCGTTGATTTTACTAATTGTAAAAAAACAGTACCTAGAGAAAATATTTGAATAAAAAAAAATATATTATCGAATTTATTTACTATATGGACAATGTGCATCGAGGTCTGAACAACAATTGTCGTTGCTATGGCATTCCCAATCACACGAACAACCATTTCCACTAATAGATATTCCACAATTATCAAGACACGAATTAAACTCTACAAAAATAAAAAATTATAAAACTAATTTTAAATCGAACAAAATAAGTTCTATTAAAAATTATTTTTACCATCTCCATCATCATGTGAACAACTTTCACCCTCGGCAATTATCAAATTATCAATCGCAGCCTTACAACTTTTCCCTTCAATTATTATCTATATATATATACATCGATAAAAAAATTTAAATTATGTAACTACTTTATTTTTTAGAAAAATTGTCCAGATAATAAAAATTATACGTTTGCTGCTATATCAAGATGATACAATCCTATAATGGTTCGTCCTTCTCCTTTATTTGACGACCAATGAGGAATTCCACCATAAGACACAATTAGCGCTGAGCGTCCATAATTGTCAGTGTTTACAATTTTGTATGAGAAAATAAGACATCTCTGTTTATCTTTAACTGGAGGAAGTTGGGGAGAAACTAATTTCCCAGAAGTAGAAGCGCCATAATTTCCAGTATCCAAAGATATATAGTTTCCTACAAAATATCTATTTTTATTTTATTATACAATACATGGCGCCAAATAGGAATTCATACCAGAAAAATATTGAGAAGGACCAGGTTGGACATGCCGTCTTGATGAAAATATAAAAAATCCCATTTTATCAGCAAACCAGTCAATATCATTGTAAATATCATTTTTCCACCCACAAAATCTTTCATCGGTTGATTCAAAGTCACAGGAATGAAATAACTGTTCATTTTCTAAAAAACAAAAAAACTTGTAGTACAATTTTTAATCTTAGACAGATAGATCATACAATGTTTATAAATCTTTTATTTTATATTGATGATTAAAAATTATAAAAAGAAATGATTCAATTCCAAGTTACAGATACTTGAAATTTTATATTTAATTTTAATGTTTTGCTACGAAGCCTGAATTAGGAGAATGAATAATTTATTTAGTACCTATGTCTTAAAAATTTGAAAGGTTAAATTTTTTAATTTTTTTTCTTGAGATCATATAAAAAATAGTCAAATTTTTAACAGCAAAAATTATAACCCAGCACAGGGGGGTTGCGTCACAGTGGTGACGTGGCATAGTTGGGTCAGGTATAATGATATCTGACAGTGATAAAAATCACTATCATATAAAACGCTTCGATGTAAATCTGTAGATACTGTTTAATTTTAAAAATTGGTAGATTATTCCAAAAGTTACATGATCTCCTATTTCCTTATTTATATCCCGATTACTAGTTTTATGATTTACAAGTGTAATATATATTTATATATATATATACAGAATGATCAAAATCTGGTAAGACACTCATTTTCTCAGAAATATTGAAAATTTTAAATTTTATTATAGAGAAAAAATATCAAGTTCAAAAAACTGTACAATAATATGTAGTCAAACCATTATTTTTTTCGTCCCTTCAAGGATACAAACCCTTATTCATGATTTTCTTAAATAGGAACCCTTATTTTTAACTTTATAATATGATAGAAAAAAAATTTACAAACAATTTTGTACTTATAATTTTTTTTATCCGATTAACCATTTGTCCGTTACAGCTTGTTAAAGTTAAGTGATTTTAGGCCAAATTTCTATTATCATTTTACTGTATTAAATACAGAAGTCATTATTTGCTGTTGCATAAACCAAATTTTATTAATCAAGTTATGACAGGTAAATTAGNTCAATAAAATATCAAGATAATCCATTGACAAATTATATATTTAACATTTTTTACCACATCCATTCTATTTATATAATAAAAACTATACATCCCACACTCTCTTTTCTCTTCTCACTTAATTTTTATGACTATTACACCCTTTCTTTTTTTTTTTCATGACAATTGAATTTCAAATTTTAAGTCTTGGATACTAGATTTTTTTAAATAATATTCGCTTGTAATTGCAAATAATAATCAACAATTTTTTATAGTAATGATTACGATAAATGATATCTTATATATTTATATTTAATAAAAATTTTGTACTCTAACATTTACCAAGCCAATATTTTTTAAAACAAATCATATTTTATTTAATAAAGGACTTTTCAATTATTCAATTATAAAATCTGGTAAGACACTCATTTTCTCAGAAATATTGAAAATTTTAAATTTTATTATAGAGAAAAAATATCAAGTTCAAAAAACTGTACAATAATATGTAGTCAAACCATTATTTTTTTCGTCCCTTCAAGGATACAAACCCTTATTCATGATTTTCTTAAATAGGAACCCTTATTTTTAACTTTATAATATGATAGAAAAAAAATTTACAAACAATTTTGTACTTATAATTTTTTTTATCCGATTAACCATTTGTCCGTTACAGCTTGTTAAAGTTAAGTGATTTTAGGCCAAATATCTATTATCATTTTACTGTATTAAATACAGAAGTCATTATTTGCTGTTGCATAAACCAAATTTTATTAATCAAGTTATGACAGGTAAATTAGCTATAAAAATTTACTACGCGCTAAATGAGTGATAACAATAATAGATTCAAACCGGGTTTTCAGTGTATTATTAATAGCTAAGTCTATGGTTTTTTAAGACTAAAGGATCTAACAAAAATACCGGTTGCACTGCCATCGATATTATGAAACTTAATAAATGACAATATTTTTTTTGGAAGTCAAAATCTTTAATCAATTGAATCGTTTATTTCAGAAGCCCCATAAATGACAAAAATTGTAAAACTTTTTTTGTATTTTCTTGTATTCTATTAGTAGACCCATCAATTTGTGCAAAAATCTCATATGTTCGTCTTATTTATGCGGCTAATCGCATCTTTGGAATAATTTGTTTAGAGCAGAAACCCTACAAGTGACATCTCAAATGAGATTTCTGCACTAAAATAATTATATTATCATTTTTTTTCAAATACAATTTATTTATAAATTTAATACTTAGTAACTAAGTATAATAACTGTTATTTACGTTTACGATAGTGGCTACAAAATATTGCCCGCTTACTGTTGCTATGCATTACTGTAGCAGTATTTAGGCGATACGCACACAAAATCAGTGTTATATATTTAGTGTTAATTAAGCTGTTTATTTCGGTTATTTTTTTCATTTACTGAGTCTTAAAATGTCGAGTGAAACTGAATCTAATGAAGATATTCCGAATAAAAGAAGAAAAGGTGTCCATTCAAAAACTTACAAACGAAACAGTATTAAGGAATCCTGAACTCACGGAAAAGAATATGTAAATTATAAAGATAAGAAAATTTGTCAAAAAACTCCTCCTCATGAAATAAAATGCAAATGCCCTGCTAAATGTTTTAAGCTTATCACGAAGGAAGTGTTGAGTGATATTTGGACAAAATTTTAATCAATGGAAAATAAAAATAGTTAGGATATTTATCTACAATCGATGATAGAAAAAAAGAAATTAAACGTCCTACAAAATCTAAAATGTTAATACCAATTATAGAAAATCGTAATAAGACAAATAATATGCACGTAGATGAGATATTAGATCTCCTGATCTGCCAACTACCAAAGCCTACTCTACTGGGAAAGTTCCAATAAACAAAAAAAAAAATTGACGACTTGAAAAAGCTCTCGGAATATACTACAAACTATTCAGATTTCTATAATATTTTTTTGAGTTGGCCAACATCAGCTGAGGAGGAAAGAATGGACGATTCAGATTATGAAGAACAATAATAATAAATTAAAACATTTTAATATGCGTAAAAATTTTTTTTTTGATACTTTTAAATATCTGCTTGTAATAATTTAATTTGTAAAAGTTCATCAAAAGTCTACTTTGTTAATTTTTTCTCTAATTAAATTTATTAATACCTTAAAACTAGAAAATTAATGTTGTAAATGTATTTTATTGCAGAAACACCATAACTGCAAAGAGTAAGGGTTTAAATTTACCTCTTCCCTTCAACCTTGGTGAGTATATGAGTATATGAGTATATTCAGTGTTTTGTATTGAACATTCCTTTACTTCCAGGAAGGAAAAAAAAAACTTTTAGGAAAATGAGAAGTTTTTATTAATTTCTCAATAGTTTAAATTTCTGTACTTAAGAGGTTTCTGAAATAAACGATTCAATTATAAAACGTAAATGGTTGTTCGGATAAAAAAAATTATAAGAACAAAATTAATGTAATTTTTTTTTTCTATCATATTATCAAATCAAAAATAGCGGTTCCCATTTAAAAAAATTATAAATAAACATTTTTATCCCTGAAGGAATAAAAAAAAATTTTATCTAACTTCATATTATTGTAAAGTTTTATAAACTTAATAATTTTTCTTTTTACAAAAATTTTAAATTCTCAATAGTTTCTGAGAAAATAAGTGTCTTACCAGACCCTATGTGTGTGTGTGTGTGTGTATATATATAAAGGGAAATGGTTTTATTTAAAGAAAAGGTATTTCAAATGAAAAAAGTTTATAAATAGTATTAATCATAAAAAATTAGTTTGATCCAATATTTTTCAAAAAGTTATAGCATTATAAAATTAAAAATATAAAATAGAATTTTTTTTATTAACTTTGATGGGCAGGTAAAGGGTCAAATTTATAAAAAAAATATACCAAATGATAGGTAAAGACATCAATTATCCATAAAAAAAAAATTATATTGATTTGGTTATTTTTAAAAAAGTTATGGCAGTAGTTTTAAGTAAAAAAAATTTCGAAAATTTCGAAAATTAGCTTTTTTTATATTTATAATTTTTTTGGAGGTTTCCCCATTTACGGGGAACGAGGGAATTTTTTTCAATTTTTGAGGGTAATGTCTTCGACTAGATACGATTTGTGATCTTTTGACGTATCGTTGAAAGAAATCCGTTCGTTGAGAGCTAAGAAAAAGTGGTAACCAACACAAAAAAAAAAATCATAGTAAAACTAATACCTTCTCAGCTTCGCATCGAAGCTAAAAATTAAAGGTCTTTTTTTTAAAAATAACTTGTGTATCGTAACTAAAAATTTAGAAATCATACCTCTACAATCTTTCAAGTCTTCATTCCATGACAAATTTTCTGTACAATATACAAAATTTGGCCCATCTAAGGTATATCCAAAATTACAAACTAGTTCTAATTTTAGTCCTTGATCCACAACATTGATTCTTCCATTAGATATTTGTGGTAAAATTACACATCCAGGTCCTAAAAATTTGTTTGTAAAAAATTATAACCACAAAAAAATATTTTTAATAAATATTATTATCAAGGGCACAATATGATGTTCAATAAATATGTAGTTAGTGAAAAAAATCTTAAAATACTTAATATTATTAATATTTAAGTGACATCTTATCATCTGATCTATCTTTTCACTCACATATTAATTCAATTAGCGCCAAAGCATATTTAACAATTATTTTGCGTTGCAACATAAAATAATTACAATTAAGTTATATTCGTTATTTTTTTTTAAATTATCAATGGAATAACTTCTGATAAAAGTTAATTTTCAAGTCGTTCATAACTAATATAACATATTTACATTTCAATATAAAATACATACTGGCACAAATTGGAGCTGGACTATCCCATGCACCTCTAATACAAGTAGCTAGTTCATTTCCATGGATTAATTTATAAGGCCAATTACAAGAAAATCGAGCAACTCTGCCATTTGAACGTAATTTTACTCGACCATTTTTTAAACGCAATTGTGAGCAACGATGTCTGTGTATGTATAAATCTTCCGAATAATAACCTACGGCAACTAAAAATAATGTTCGAAGAATGAAACTAGAATTAGTTATTAGATATTAAGGGTTAAATTATAAAAAATTACCATTAATTAAACATACAGCCAAAATTGCAAAAAAAATATTCAATGAAAACATCATATTTACTGATTTATTGTTAACGTCATCTAATATATAACGATTAATGTCCATGCACAAAACATTTAATAATAATTCAAGTCCAATGTGTAATACAAAAGATTACTGTGACATGGAAATTACATACCTAATTTTTATCGATATTTTACCAACAACACCGGAACCCCAGAGATAAATAAAAACAACATCAAAGGTCCAATTAATATTACTATTTTAATCAATTTAAGAGAAAATTAAACATACGCTTTTGAATACAAATTATAATTCAACAAATTCTATTTTATATAATTTAAAATATAAAAAAATAATAAACTAAATTTTACTCAAATCTTTAAAACTATCGTCTTCTGAATTCCAGGTGTTAGAATTTTCATCTATCTAAACATTTGATTAAAAATACGTTACTTTACTTCAAAATATGTATTACTATAATTATTGTTTGATTATATAAGTTTATAGCATTTAAACACCAAACAATGTAATATATCTTACTTGATTTAATTTATCTAATGAAAAATCTAGAAATGATGGAACGTTGCTAGTTGATTGATAATGAGTAATGGAATGACTTATACCAAGACAAGGTTCGGGTGAAGAAAAATCGTCATCTACACCATAAGTTTTTGAATTAGTTAAAAAATTATTATACTTTTCGAACGTTTTACTTTCCGCGCTTGATAATTCAAAACTGTCATTTTGACTCAGTATCTCTTTAAAAAAAATATAATATTTCAAATGATATTTTATAACTATAAATAAAGTAGTATTATACCTTGTTGGTTAACTGGAATAAAAAGAGGGTTGAAAATAAAATCTTTTGGTGTTGAATTGTTTATAGGAAACATTTTTGTTGGTGATGTAGATAATTTAGTAATCTTATCTGTTTTTTTGTTATTTTTTTGTGATGAATTGTGTCTATAAAAAAATGTATTAATCACATTTATAAATTTTTTATGCAATTTAAACACAAAACTTAGTCGTTTAGATCTTTTATGATATGTACAGTTTTTATACAAACAATTTTTTTTCTGGATTTGATAATTAATTTAAGAGTAAGGAAATTTTACTTTATTTTTGGACATACGTCCTTTAAATACTAAATAACTCATTTATACTACATACAAACGAAGGATACATTGACGAAGTTCTTCACAAACAATAACTCCAGGATCTAAACAAAAATATTGATAAAACTTTAAACATAATAATTGTGTTATAACTTAGTAATTGAAGATATTAAAATGAAATATTCACTACCATTATCTGATTTTGATGTACTACTCAATTTTGGCAAATCATCACTAATTTCATTAATATATTTATTATATAAATTACAGACATCACTAAAATCTTCGTCATTAAATTTACTAATAGGAAGTATTTCGTTTTTTTTTGGTTCTTTAATACGATTTACTAATGAATTTTTAAGCTCACGTACTTGGTTTCTTATAGAATCAGATAACAATTTTTCTGGAGATGAAGTAAGCTTAAAATTACTTGTAATTATGTTCCTATAATTATTTAGTCATAAAAATTCTGTAACAAGCAAAGCTAATCGCTTTCTGACAAAATTTATACTTAACAAATGTTTAAAAATTCCAGTTTTTTATAAAGAAGTAAATAAAAATTATTTAGACATTTTTAAATTTACTTTTATATTCTTTTTATAATATACATTTCATTTTATAATTATTGAGTATTAAACTAAATTTTTATTACTTTTTCTTTTAACTATTAAACTAATAAAATTATATAATTAAAGTCTATAAATGGCCAAAATTAATTTGGCTATTCTTTAAACGTATTTTCTAATATACTTTAAGTTAACCATATGGAAATATAGAAAAAAAAATTATTATTATGAATCAAAGTTACAATAATGAGTTTTTGCAAATTATTTAATCTCATTAAAAGTTAAAAAATTAATAAACGTCTATTATATCAATAAAGTTATGATCAAATAAGATACAAATTAATTAGAATATTACTCTTTTTTATTTGTCAATGGTCTTGAAGTAATTTTTGTCATGATATTTTTATTGAACAAATAATGTTTATTAACTGCTAATGGTTTTAATTTTTCGATTGGAGATCTAAAATAAATTGAAAATTTAATATGATATTTCATTATTGATGTATTGATTACACGGTGCACCATAGATTTTTAACTTACATAGAAATATTTTTATCAAGACAACGTTTTTTTGTTGATGTAGCTTCTGGAGAACTAATATTTACACGATAATTTTTAACTGGATTTCTCGTTTCTAAATTCACACAGGAAATAATATCTTCTATTCTACTCTTATGTACTTTGCTAGGTGGATCTAAATCTGATATATAAAATTAATTTAAGTTATTATTTTTTATAACTAAAAGTAAAAATTGTGTTCAAACTTTGTTCACAAAAATTAGGATGGATTCCTCGTTGAACATAACCATTTCTAACCTAAAAAACAATGTTTTTATAAATGATTTCAAACTTAAAAAAACATGCATTTCGAAATATCTGAGTGTTATTTTAGAGAGTTTGACTTGGGATCAATGTTTATTTTTATATACGTTTTTTCCTGCGATAATCTGCACTCGGATATATTGAAATAGACATATTTATTTAATTATAAAAGATTTTTATAATTAAATATATATTTTTTCAACATATTTTCCAATGAAATAATATTTCCTGCTTTCTTTAAAGTAGATTTGTGTTGTTTCAAATGTGAAAAATAACATGACAAAATTGTTCATGATATAAAATTTTGCACTTAAGAAGTTATACGAGTAGTGATGAATATTCTCAAAATAATTTATACATATTTATTTATCATGATACATATATATATATAATACTTAAGATTGGTAGATTATTCCAAAAGCTACATGATCTGCTATTTCCTTATTAATATCCTGATTAAGATAAAGTATGTCGAAAAAAAAGGGATTATTAAAAAATATATTTCTAATGAAAAAATTGTATTAATCCATACACTTTTCAATAAGTTATAGCGTATAAAGTTAAAAATGTAAAAAATAAAATCGAGAATTTTCACTCAAAAATAGCATTTGGTAGCCGTTTTCACCGTGAAGACATAATAAAGTCCGAATTTTTTTTTTTCATAATAAAATACATTATTTTATCTTTAATTTAAGATATACATAAAAGTGTAAGACTTTCCGGAACACTTTCAAAATTTAAGTTGAAAAAGTTGTCATTTTCAATCCCTCCTGTGGGCAGGTAAAGTGTCAAATTTATAAAAAAAATATACAAAATGATAGGTAAAGACATTTATAAAAAAAATTAATTGATCAACACATTTTCCAAATAGTTATAGAATTATTAAGTTAAAAATATAAAAAAGAATTATTTTACAAGAATCATATTTTTTTTTTATTATGATAAAGCATTAAGATGTTTGATGATAGCTTTACCTATCATTTTGTGTATTTTTTTTATAAATTTGACACTTTACCTGCCCACAGGAGAGATTGAAAATGACAACTTTTTCACAAAAAATTAACTTTTACACTTAACTTTTGAAAGTGTTCCGAAAAGTCTGACACTTTTATGTATATCTTAAATTAAAGATAAAATAATGTACTTTATTATGAAAAAAAAAAATTCGGACTTTATTTTGTCTTCACGGTGAAAACGGCTACCAAATGCTAAAAAAATTATTTTTTTCCATAATAAAGTTAATTACATTAGCTTTAATTTAAGATATATATAAAAGTGTAAAACTTTCCGGAACACTTTCAAAAGTTAAGTTGAAAAAGTTTTACTTTCTATATGCATTTTTCAAAATTGAACCCACCTCCTATATAGGAAAATAGTCTGATTTTAAAAAAAAGTATGTCAAATAAAAGATGTTATAAATACTACTTCTCATGAAAAATTTGTATTGATCCATACATTTTTTAAAAAGTTATAGCATTTTAAAGTGAAAAAAACCCAGCACAGGGGGGTCGCGGCACAGTTGTGACGTGGTATAGTTGGATCAAGTATAATGATATCTGACAGTGATTAAAATCACTATCAAAAATAAACGCTTCGATGCAAATCTTTAGATAGTGTTTAATTTTAAAAAAATTGGTGTTTTATTCCAAAAGCTACTTGATCTGCTGGTTCCTTATTAATATCTCGATTAAGATAAAGTATGTCGAATGAAAAACGGGTTTATTAAAAAATATTATTTCTCATAAAAAAATTGTGTGGATCCATAAACTTTTCAATAAGTTATAGCATTATAAAGTTAAATATAATATAAATCATAAAATCGAGAATTTTCACACGAAAATAGCATTCGGTAGCCATTTTCGCCGTGAAGACAAGTCCAGAGGTCAAATTTTTTTTTTTCAAATTAAAGTACATTACATTAGCTTTAATTTAAGATATATATAAAAGTGTCAGACCTTCCGGAACATTTTCAAAAGTTATGTTGAAAAAGTAAATTTTTTGTGAAAAAGTTGTCATTTTAAATCCCCCCCTGTGGGCAGGTTAAGTGTCAGATTTACAAAAAAAATATACCAAATAATAGGTAAAGACATTAAGCATCTATAAAAAAAAAAATTATATTGATATGTTCATTTTTGAAAAAGTTACGGCAGTTTTTAGTAAAAAAAATTGAAAAAATTTCGAAAATTAGCGATTTTTAAATTTGTAATTTTTTTGGAGGTTTCCCCCATTTATAGGGAACGAGGGAAATTTTTTCAATTTTGAAGGGTAATGTCTTCGACTAGATACGATTTGTGATCTTTTGACGTATCGTTGAAAGAAATCCGTTCAGTGAGAGCTAAGAAAAAGTGGTAACAGTCACAAAAAAAAAACATAAGTAAAACCAATACCTCCTAAGCTTCGCATCGAAGCTAAAAGATATATTTATAAATAATATATTTTTGTCTAACTATATTGGTTGTTTAAATTTAATTTAATTTTTATAAAGTACTTATCTATTAACTTACTTTTCCGCGTTCATTAACCAACTGATGTAAAAGTTGAGGAGGATGATTTTCAAAATAGCGATCTATGTTTTCCTATCAAAAAAATATATAAGAATCTAATTATAAAAATAAAATAGGAAATAGTAGAAAATTTTACCAATAAATTCGTTTGATTTCTTTTCTTTTGTAAAACTATGCGTTCTCTTGAACTATTTTCACTAGTAGATATTTCATTTTGACCATACTATGAAAAAATTTAGATATGATTTTTTTTAATTTCTTCGAATAAAATAAAATTATAATAAAATTTTTTTTTTTTTAATACCCTGTTTTACATAAAATAAAAAATCATAAAAACATACGTTTCGTATATCAGTGTGTAGAATAAGAAATGAAATATACTAAAAAAAATTTTTGCTGAATGTAAAATATTGTAATAATCTTATTGTTTTTATAATTATAAATCAAGCTCAATGTTGTATTTAAATTTTTTATAGGAACATTCATGCAAAAATTTTCTTTATTCCTTCTTAATTTCCAATGTAGAAGCAAATTTTTTAGATTGTTATATCAATATAAAAATTAATTAATTAGAACACTCACGTGAGATACTCTATTAGATCGACCTTGATTTTTTTTAAAATAATGACTCTTAATTTCATTATTTGTTTTTCTGAAGTACTTGCTTTTTCTTGTCCACATAGTATTGTACTTAGTAAACTAATAGAAAGAGATAATATTTATATACTCATATATGTACTATACTCATTTTTATTGATTAGTTTTTTTATTTATAATTATTATTATACATATAACTTAAAATTTATTTATAATATCAATGAAAAATGCAAATCTAATTGAGAATAAATCTAAGTAAATTTTAACAACTCGCAAATATTTTAAGTACATATATTTATAGAAAAATTAAGAGTTAAGCGGAAGATTTTATTTTTATAAAAATAATTTCTCACTTAAAAATTAATTTTCAACATACAAATTCTAGTCTTTTTAAAATAAAATTTGTACAGTCAAAATTTTAGAATTATAAAGTTTATAAGAGATGATTTACTAGAAAATCATGAGTTTCTCTACTCAAAAATGCTTGCGGTGACCCAGTTGTTCACTATAAATTATACTTTTAAAAAGAATTTAAACAAAAAATTATCAAAAATAATATTTATTTTAAAATATTTTTAAAATTTCTTTTGTCCTCTCCATGATATATTCTGTGAATTAATTAAAGACTAAAAATTTAGTATGGTATGTAATGAATATATCGATTGTAGGTGAAAAATATACCAATTAGAAAACATTAAAATAATGAGCAAAATAGCATTAGAATAATAATTTTTCTAGACAGATATTTCAATAAAATAATTGCCACTTAAACTTCGATGCAAAGCTGAGAAATTATTAATTTTACCATGATGTGATTTTTGTTTTTTTTTTTTTGTCTGTTGCCACTTTTTTTCAGCTCTCACAGGACCGATTTTGATGAACATTATGTCAAAAGATCACAAATCGTATCTAGTTGAAGACATTACCCTTAAAAATAGAAAAAAATTCCCTTGTTCTCCGTAAATGGGGGAAATATCCAAAAAAATTACAATTATTCAACACGGTAAATTTTGTCATTTTTTTCACTTTTTTTTCTTAAAACTACCATAACTATTATAAAAATTAACAAAACAACTTAATTTATTTTTTATCGAAACTTTAGATATTTCCCTTTCATTCGAAGTCATTTTTTTAAAAATCTAACACTTAACCTGCTCACAGGGGGGGATTTAAAGTAGTAACTTTTTTATAAAAACTAGCTATTTCAATTTAATTTTTGAAAATGTTCTGTGATACTGCATCCTTTAAACGTATATCAAATTAAACTTATGTTATGTACTATAAAATAAAAAAAAAAATTTTCCCGACACCTTATCTTCTACGTGCAAACGTAGTTAAAAAAATGCTATTTTTGTGTTAAAATTTTCAATATCCGAAATTAAATCTTTAACTTTTTGAATAATGTATGTATCAACACAAATTTATTTTTTCTAAATACATTATGTATACTTCTTTCATTTAACATACTTTTTATTTAAATTGGACAATTTTCCTTTACAAGGGGCTGTCAAAACTTGAAAAATACGTATAAAAAGTAGAACTTTTTCAACTTGATTTTTGAAAATGTTCCGGAAATACTGCGTCCTTTAAAAATCTGTTAAATTAAAGCTTACAATAAATACTAATGGTTCAAAAAAAAAATTTGTGCCGACACCTTTTCTTCTATAGGAAAATGACCGTCGAATTTAACAAAACTTATTTTATGTAAAAATCACTGTTTAACATGAAATATTTTAATAGTTAAAACTGCCATAACTTTTTGAAAAATGAATAAATTAAAATTATTTTTTTTATAATGAAACCTTAGATATTTTTCTTTCAATTGATACAATTTTTTTGAAAATGTGACTAAACCTGCCCACTGGGGGAATTAAAAAAAACACCTTATGTACACAAGTTAAGCTTTTTGAATTTTTGAAAATGTTCCGGAAATATTAACACTTTTATTTAATCTTAAATTAAAGCTTATATTATTATTTAGAATAAAGTTCATAAGACATAAGAAGTTAAACTTTTTTAAATTTTTTTGCTTTTTTAAAGTCGAAAAAGTAACTTTAAAATTTGAATTAGCTTAAATTACCAATTTTACAAAGTGACGAAAGCGATGAACAGTTGCCGAATTGGTAACACTTGTGTCTTTTGAGGTTAGGATACCAGGTTCACTTGTGGCAATTAATACTTTGCATTTTTTTTAAGTTGGAAAAATTTTCAAATTATTTGATTTTTATCTCACATAGATTCATTAACTTCAATAAATATCAAGGATCCTATATAATTTTATATTATATTTTTGAATCTAAGAATTACTAATCTGGATATAATTAAAGAAATAGATTATGTTGCTTTTGTAATTATCCACCAATTTCTTAGAATTAAACATATATACAGATTGGCATCGAAGCATTTCTAATGATAGTGATTTTAATCATTGTCAGATTAAATCTATACTGGACCCAACTATGTCACGTCCCTACTGTGCTGGCTTTTTTTAATAATAATATTAAAAATTAGATGTAACAAAAAAATTCTAATTGCACATTTGAAAAAAGCGCGTAAAGTTGATTTAAAAAAATATATTTTTGTTACTGATGAAAGTTCGTTGTAGTCCAATGTATAAAACTTATAACTTTGGTTTTTTTTTTGACGCTCACCACTTTTCCTTACCTCTAACTAGACTGAATTTTGTCAACCATGGGTCAAAAAATCACAAATTTTATCTAACTGAAAACATTATTCTTAAAATTTTTAAAATTTTCCCTCGTTTCAAGTTTTTCCTATATAAGAGAAAATGATCTGATTTTCAAAAAAAGTATATAGGATGAAAATGGTATACAGAATGATTTTTTTATCATAACTTACTCAATTACTTACAGAATAAATATAATTTAAACATTTTTTTTTTTTTGGTTATCTTTAGTTAGACATTATTCTTGAATTATTAACTATGAAGTACATTTTAAGATCATCCCTTATGCTTTGTAAGGGTGTCAACTTTGTTTTTTTAAATGGGAACACATATTTTGAATTGAATAAAATAAAATGTTTGAGTTTTTAATTTAATATTAAATGGCATTTGAATATTTAATATAATTTGATTTGTTTATTAAATATAAACATTTAAAGTTTCAAATTTTTGAGTTAATATACATGTATAATACGCAAAGGATTACAAATACAGGTTTTTTACATTGGTTTTTTATGGCATTGCTGTCACAGTAACGGATTGTTATTTATCAATTATGACTATCAATAAAAATACATTTAAAATACGACACTGACACTTTTATATATACCTTAAATTAAAGTTAATGTAATACACATTATTATGGAAATTTTTTATATTTTCTTCGTTGCGAAACTGAGAAGTATTAACATTATAATGCTATAACTTTTTGAAAAATGTATCGATCATTATAATTTTTTTATGAGAAGTACTATTTATATTCTTCTTTTATGCAACATACTTTTTTTTTTAATCGGCCCCTTTTCCTTTATATATTACACTTATAAATCATAAAACTTGTAATCAGAATATATATAAGGAAATAGGAGATCATGTAGCTTTTGGAATAATCCACCAATTTTTTAAAATTAAACACTATCTACAGATTTGCATCGAAATGTTTTTTATGAGCTTTTAACCACTATCATCCATACTACTACGTCCCATCTTTGCCGCGTTCCCACTGTATCGTGTTCATTGTGTTATCGTTTTTTAGTAATAAAAATTGATAGAAATAAATAAAAGTAGATTCATATTTAGGCCGAGTCGAGAAACTATTATATGAAATCTTAATAACATTATTAAAAGACTTAAAGTTTTCCGACTGGTTAGGTTAAACTAATACCAACAAAAACATAACTATGATAGTTTTGAAATACCACTCTCTAAAAAAAAAAGTATGTCTATCAAAGTAATGATATCACATTGTGGCTAATTATGGTTTTTCTTTAATTTACAAACTCTATTCTCACATATTTCCATACAAAATTCCAGTATTAAAATTTTTATATTGATTGTTTAGTTGGGTTTAGAAACTCCCTAAAGCGGCTTTAATTTTAAGAAAACTGAAATTTTCAGATTTAAATTTTAAGACCTAACATTATGCCAAATTTCATATTTTTACCTATGCAGAGTGTCTTATAATTTTGATGATAACTCAGTGATTGAATGAGTTACAAAAACGGAAAATTTGAAAAGGTTCATTGCTTTAAAAAATAATTTTGATACAGCGTTCTAAACTACTACAGCTTAATCTATCTATACTTAAAATTTAAAAAGCTTATATTAAGTAGACTGAAATATGTGGGTTTGAAAAAACAAATGAATCTTATCGTGTAAAGATACACTAATTGCTAGAACTGAGCAGTGCGCTCAAAGAAATATATTTTATCAAACGAACCGACTTTGTTGAATTAACAAATATAAGGACTCGAATAATGAGAATAAAAGTCGGCTTATACATTAACATTAATAATTATTGCTTTAAGATTTGTATGCATGTAAAAATACATTGAGATATACAAAGACGTATTTAGGAATTCTTTAGTCTAGGTAAGAAAAAACGCGTCCTCATAAATTTTATTAATAATATAACACAAATAATGAATTTTTCGCTACTCCGAATTCTAAAAACATCAATATACGTAATTAAATGAAAATTTGGTAACATTTTTAGAAAGGTTTATATGACCTTAAAACGAAAATAAAATTTTGATTTGAAGGAGATATTAAGATTTCTGGGAGGACTAAGCTTCATCAAGCCTCTTAAATATCCGCCAGTTTTCTAAAAATTTTACATATTCATAATTATACTTTATTTTATCAATCAAATGCTACAAGTTCCTTTCACAATTTCAAATCATGGACCTCGTGCCACTTGTTCCTTCTAAATATATTTATAGATTATTTAAAATTTAACAAAAAATGTTTTATTTGGAATTTTTATTTCTCGACAATTAAAATAAAATGATTTAATGTATCAATATTCAAGTCTTAATAAAACGTTTATATTATCTGATTACCTTGCTACATGAACATTATATAATATAAATACCTTATTCAATGTAATTATTTTCTGAAATAAATCTTTATCAATAGTTAAATTTAAATGAAAATTCTATTTTATTATATTTAGAACTCAAATTTTTATATTAATTGAAATACTAAGAAGAAAATAATATATCTCTAACAGAGATGCCTGATTCGTAAGCACAATATGTAATTATAATTGAAAAAATGTGTTATTATATAAAATATTTTATTTTTTTTTCCAGGGAAATATTTAATTATTTAACCAGTCTCGTAATAATAAAAATAGACTTGATATTATTGATAATAATTATCTATACAATTATTGTGTTGATAATATATCTACGTCCTCAGTCGATTTCAAGTCATCAGGAAATAAAATTAGTTTAAATTTCACATAAGTTGAGTTATAATTAAATTGGTTCTTATCATTATTTAATTTAATATATAATTGTTTAATTTTTATATTGTTTTAACTTTTACATAAAACTTTTGGTTTGTTTTTTATCATTTTTAAGTTTAATTTAAAATATGTTTATGTTTTTGACTGTTATTTTTAAATTAATTTTTTTGTATTATAATTGTTTAAAATAAATTCTAATAAATTTTAAAGTGTATATATTTGCCTATTGATGATATAAGTAAATATGTAATAACTATATTTAATACACTTACTTATTTACTTAATATGTCAAATTTAATAACGGCAATGAGTAAAAACCATTGATCTAATATCAAGACATTGACTATATGAAAAATAAATAGGCTGTGATTAAGATATCATTTTAATAACATTTATTTAGTTTATACCACGGTTATACAGACAGATTTAACATTTCGACTAATGATTTGAGCCTTTATTGAAATAGTGATCGGGCAATGTTACGTGACGCAATATACTTGAAAATAACTCATTCACAATAATTAGATAACTCTGCATTAGACATTTAAAATACTTTTTCAATCATGTGTTTATATGTGTAAAGGTATACTTAAGTCTTGCATTTGCAAAATGAAATAAAATATTACAGAACTCAAGCACATAATTATTAAAGGATTTAAAATTTTTAACCATTGATATTCATCATGAACTGTATCCACACTAGTAGTTTAGTTAATAATAACTAAATATATTAAGAATTTTTATTAACATCGGGAAATTCAACCAAATATTAATGTAAAAAAAAGAATACGTTTTACAACTGATAATTCAGCTATTAAAACACACGAATTTTAGCTAATAAAATTTCTAAATATATGAAAAGTATAAAACTGAAGAATTAAATGCCATAATTTACATTTTAGAGATTTATGCAATAACGGTTTTGTAAAAGAATACAATAAATTTCCAACGGAAAATAAACAATTATTTACTGATAATAGTTCTTAAAAAGTAAAAATTGTTATATTAAACATAAGAGGTCAAAACATAAACTGGCCCATAACACTATCAATAATGACTTAGCTGTCCCAGCGTTGAAAATATTGAAAATTCAAAACCTTTCTGTACAACAGGTTTAACCCTCTCATTTATCTACTCTTATCAGCCGTTATCACTAATATTTAATAAGACGGTTATGTGTTTCATAAAATATCTGAGATCATTATAAATATTTAACCATTAAGGATTTTTTACTATGTAAAATTAATAATTTGTAAGCTTTTTTAAAAATGACTAACTCAGTTTTAGATTTATTTAATAATGAAAATCTTGCATTTGTCAAAGTTTGTGCCCCCATGGTTCGCTACAGCAAGTGAGATAAAATCATTTTAATTTATCTGATAAAATATAAAAATTTATTACACAATTTTAGACTTCAGTATCGAAAACTTGTTAGAATGTATGATTGTAATTTATGCTTCACTCCTATGATAATGGCCGATTCCTATATTAAATCTCCAAAAGCTCGAAACCATGAATTTCAGACTGATGATGGTTAGTTATAATTACATTTTTATTATTTTAACTTTTAAAGAAGCCCGCCCACAGTTAGCCAATATAAATTAATTAATAAACATAATTGTAAAATGTTTACACTTTCAAGTAAAACTACATGTACATAAGCATATTCATCAATTAATTATGTCATTGATTACCCAATAATATTATTTTTAAATAGTAAGAATAAAATTCATACTATATAAATTATAAAAAGTATAACTCTAATTTCATTGATAAACTCATTAATCTTTTAATGCAGTTTAAAATTTATAAAAATGGGGTTTTACTATTATTTGTTTTTAAAACCTGTAGGGATATTGTTCCCATACTTATAAGTCTTGTGATAATTATATCAAACATTTATACATAATTATAAAATATTTCTAATAAAATTTAACATAGATAAGAAATACGGTTTTTAACTTTTTAATTGAATTTATTATTAATAATTTGATTTATAAATTTTTATAATTAATGTTAGTTTGATGAATCCACTTTGAATTGACTACACTTTTAATAATATTTTCATTATAAAACATTGCCTTTTTATAGAGTACTACATTGATAAACCATATTTATCCAGAATTAAGCTAAGTGAAATATCTTATTTGTCTCTTGTGTATTATTTAGTATCTTAAAGTTATTAAAATCTGTTTCTTAATTACTTTTTCTACTGAATTTGATATCAATAAAAAAATAAAGAATTTTAATGTTGATTACAGGACAAATCTAATTATACCAACCTCCAAATCCAATAATTGTTGTATATGTTTAGTTAAACTATTGTTAAATTTTTTACTAATTGTAAATTATAATAATAATAAAAAATATTTATACATAGTCAAATAACTAGGTGATAAAAAACTGTTAATATTATTTTTCAATTCATTCTTATTTAACATTGTAATCAATTGTATTATTTTTAAATTATTTCAGAAGATCGTCCATTAATTGTTCAGTTTGGTGCCAATAATTCAACTGATTTCATATCTGCTTCAGAATTGATAATTCCGTAGGTTTAATTGTTATTTAAAACCCATTTAATGTCCTTGCCACAGTAAATTAATTGGGTATTAAGCCAATATATTGGTTTACTAGAACTATACTAAACTAAAATAAAATATCATTGTTTTATTTTATTTATGTTAAATTTTTTGTTATATTTTTAGCAATTATTGATTCATAATTTATAATTATTAATAAGATGAATTTTAAGATAGCATATGGTACTATAATATAATTAAACAAACTTAGGTATTCTATTAATGTAGATTATTTTGAATGAAAAGTAATATGTTATTTATTATTGGAAGGTAGAGTTTAGATCAGTTTGCAATACTTAAACATTTTTGTAATTTACTTATGTGTTGGACGAAGTTTTTACTGTATTGTACTCATTTTTTTAAAAATAAAATGTTAATATAAAAAAAAAATATTAATACATAATTTTAAAATATATATTATAATAAAATAAATAAATTCAAGTATAATTCATTTTTTACTTTAACAAAAATATCTTTCAGTGAAAAATAGTATAGTCTGAATATACAAGATTTAAAAAAAAAATTAATTAGTATAATTATTATTGTTTATTTACTCTTGCATCTTAATTTTTTTAGGCATTGTGATGGAGTTGATTTAAATTGTGGATGTCCTCAAAAATGGGCTCTACAAGACGGTTATGGTGCTCATTTATTAAAAAATCCAGAAATTATTAAAGACTGTGTTAGTCAATTGCGAAACAGATTACCTTTAAATAAAACAATATCAGTAAAATTAAGAATACTTAATAATAATAGGCAGGTATTGTTGTTAAGAAAAAGTCAAACATTTTTTAATACCATTGAAATCAAATCCATTTATATAATAAATACAAAAGATTTTAGTCAAATCACAGAAATATTATGATTATATATAATATAATTTATACTTTATACTTTATTTTGTCTTCATGGTGAAATTTGCTACCGTATGCTATTTTTGTGTTAAAATTCTCGATTTTATATTTTTAACTTTATATTTCTATAACTTTTCGAAAAATATATAGATCAATACAATTTTTTATGAAAATTAATATTTATATACTTCTTTCATTTGACATACATTTTTTTTAAAAAAATATTTTAAAATAAAAAATGTTTAGGTAATAAGACTTTTGTAAAAAAATTCTTTTTTATATTTTTAATTTTATAATGCTATAACTTTTTGAAAAATGTATGGATCCATACAATTTTTTTATGATAAATACTATTTATAAACTTTTTTCATTTGAAATACCTTTTCTTTAAATAAAACCATTTCCCTTTAAATATTTATATATTACACTTATAAATCACAAAACTTAATCAGGATACAAATAAGGAAATAGAAGATCTTATAGCTTTTGGAATAATCCATCAATTTTTTTAAAATTAAACACTATCTACAGATTTGCATCGAAGGGTTTTTTATGGTAGTGATTTTAATCACTATCAAATATCATACTTGACCCAACTATGGCACGTCTTCACTTTGTCGCGACCCCAGTATGCTGGGTTTTTTTTTCTGCCTTAAAATTTTAACAAATACTTATTGAGCATTGTGTAGTGCAAAATCGTTTTATATAATAAAACAACAATAGAAGAAAATCTTTTTTAACTTGATATTTATATATTATTTTTCCAACATTATTATTATTAGATTTTGTTTATGGCTTAATCTTGAAAATTAAACTTATCATGTGTGTTTTAATTTTTATACAATATTTATATTTTAAACGCATCATTTTTTACTTAAATTTCAAGGTTTTAATCTAGATAAAATGTTATTTGCATTATTATACAAATTTTTTTCTTAAAAACCAATTGATTCCAGAGAAAGTGTTGACCTTTGTCGACAAATTGAAGCTGCTGGTGTTTCCTTTATAACAGTCCATGGACGAACGCCGCTTCAAAAAAAAGATCCAGTTAACTTAGAATGTATTAAACTTATTAATGATTCTGTCAATATCCCAGTAATTTTCAATGGTGGTATAAAAAATTTGTCAGATGCTATTTTTAAACATAATTTTACTGGTTGTAGAGGTACAGATTTCTTATTAAATGGCATTATGTCAAAACATTTCATGAATAATTTTTTTACCTTAGGAGTTATGAGTGCCACGAGTATACTTCACAATCCAGGTTTATTTGCTGGCTATGATTTTACACCTGTATCAGCTATAGAAAATTGGTTGAAAATTCAACATACAAACTTTTTTTGGTTTCATCATCATCTAGTATTTATGTGTGAACACTTATTAATTAAAAAAGATCGAATTATTTTTAATAATTTAAAAAATGCAAACGATGTTGTATCATTTTTAGAAGAAAAATTTGACATTAAAAATGTACTTTCTAGCAATAGAACTCTTGGTAAAAAACTATCTGCAACACCTGGAACATATTATCAAAGTATTACAAGTAATGAAAGTATTCAAGAAACTGCAGATTTAGTTGATGAATTAAGTAGTTTATTTTGTTAATTTAAAAATTACTGTTAATCTTTAAGAGTTTTTTAAGACAAAATCTATGCACTCATATAAATACATATTATTGCATATAATTGAAAATTTTTAAAATAAAGTTTTTACAACAGTTTCTAGTATCCTAAATATACCATACATTTTTATGTTTCAATGTATAATATACAATTAGTGTATGTAATATTATATACATAACTGAATATATGATTCATAATATAATTAATTTTGAAATTTTATTCATTTGTTGTTCCCTACCTAGGATGAGATGGTAACATGTTGGAGTGGACTGTAAATTGTAATATGAATTAATATACACTTAATTTTTACAAATAACTACAACAATATAATTTAAATTCTAGAAAATACAATTATTATTAAATGAATAAATGAATAGTCTTGTAATAATTATTAACAAATTTATATTTATGTGACACTTTATTCAACAACGGTTCAAACACTATTGAAATTGCTTACCAAACAATTAGTTATCCACATACTAATTAACTAACTAACTTAACACCACTACAATAGTACTGTAATTATATGGGTTCGTAACACATTTTCTATTTAATCATTTTATTTATTATATATATATTATTTAATATGATAGCCACAAATAGAAGGACCAGAACTTTTCAACCTAATAAAATCTTCTAGATATTTTTAGAGAAAAAATTAATTTACAATTACCCCATTTGTTTACATTGACTTCATTTCACACTAATTAAAGAGATGAAATATAATAACAAAACTCTTATTATATAATATCTTTGTTGTTGTCTAAGAAATGTTACAGATATATAAATATCATAATTACAACTGAAAAAAACAAAGGTAATTCTACTCTAAAAAGCTAAAGCTTGCAACATGGTGTAGAAGTTTATGTATTAACGATATAAATAATAAATAAATATTACATTATTAATTAAAATAGCAAAACAATACCTTTTTGAGATGAATTAAAAATTGACTTTATTTGAATAGATTCTTTAAAACTTTAAAAATGAAAATTTATTTTTGACATTTCTTAAGTTTATATTCAATTTAAAACCTAAGTTACTAGAGATTTTAAGTCCAAATTTTTTTTTACAATACAGACATTTATATTAACATAATATTTATACCTAGTAAAATATCTATGATTCGGTCTGACATAAATTAGCATTAAAAATATATTTTAAATATTAGAAAGATATAAACCATTAGCATTCCTACTTTTAAAATATAAATTTTAATGTTTATAGTTGTTTAAAATACTAAATTATGTTAATTAAATTAATCAAAGGTAAATTTGAAAACTAGACAATTTTATATGTAGTCTTGGGCAAATTACTTTGAAAAAGTAACTAAAGTACAATTACTAACAAGTAATTTAATTACTTGTTTTAAATGTAATGTTAAGATTTTACAAAAAAAAGTAATGAGGTACTCCTCAAATTAATTTTTATGTGCGGTTGAACAAACAAAATATCTAATTGTTTCAAAAAAATGTTCAGTATTAAATATTTATGACATAAATATATGAACAACTAAATTAATTGAAAAATAAAAATAATATTGAGAATATTTTTTAGTTCCTTAAAAGTGTATGTTCTTTAAATTTATTAATCGTAAAGTATTTTCTAAATGCATCTCTTATATCTTATACATCATATGGGTATCAACGCCATTTTTTCAAATGACAACTTACATAATGATAATTATCTAATTATGAAAATGACTAATTTATAACAACTTTTAAACAGTACTTCGGAAGTTATTAGCGTTTCAAAATTTAATATTTTTACTAAATTTGGATAAATTAGAAAAAGCTAACCACTTTACAATTAGCGAACTTTTTGACGGATTGATGAGTTTATTATTGCCAGCTGGTATCAAACTTGACAATATACTTTTATTTTTATCTAATGCTGCACTTAACATGGTTAAATCAGGAGAAGTGCTAAAAAGTTTTTACTCGAAAATGAGTCATGTAACATGTGTTGTACACGGGCTTCATAGAGTCACAGAAGAAGTAAAAAGTCAATTTCATATAGTAGATAAAATTATTTCAAGTGTGAAAAAAATATTCAGAAAAGTATCAAGTCGTTTACTTTTATTTAAAGCGGAAGCGCCAAATCTACCCTTACCACCAGAGCCAATTATAACTTGTTGGGGAAGTTGGATTAACGCGAGAATTTCGAAATAATACACTGAATTGTTTTCATGTTGGACAAAAACGATGCTGTTAAAAACTAACAGCGTTATTAAAATAATAACGCTCAAGATTTCTTCATAAAATCTGGATTAGAAAATAACTTAACGTATATTTCGCCAAACTTTGCTACCTTAACCTGGCTACTGAAAAAGTACATCAACATGTACCATTATGGGATTCAATCAAAATTGTTAAAGATATCTAAAAATCTTTGGAAAATCTTAGGGTTAAAAAAAAAAAAAAAAAAAACGCTAATCAAAATAAGTTCAATAAGGCATTGGGAAAAAAATTTTGGTCTCGCGACATTAATAAAAATATCAAATTCTAACTGATGAAGAAGATTTAACTTGTAACAACTTAGCATTTTTTTAAATACGAACCCGTAACGTCTGTCAATGTTAAGTGGTCATTCTCAACATTTAATTTATTATTTATAAACGTAGATCATTCAAATATGAAAATGTAAGAAAACATTATTATAAAAAAAATTTTGTATTGAAATTGTAATTTGCATATTTTTCTGTTTTTTATGCTATTTATAGCGCTAATTGTGGTGTTTTTAAGTGCATTTTAAAGCGCTAAAAATATATTTTATTAGTGCTATAGTATCCGAGCTCTGATTATAATAATTTACATATTAATCGTCAGCATGAAAAACGAACCTAATTCAAAAATTAATTGAAAGAGGGTGTTCGGTAAACTCTATTTATATCAAAAAAAAAAAAACAAACACGAATATCTATTCATCTTTTATGTACTCGAGTTGAGTGAGAATTTTAATTTTTGAATTTAAGAATACAATGTTTCAATAGGCGAAAAATGAATAGTTACTATTAAAACACTATTAGAAATTTAAAAGTTAATGATTTAATTTAGAGAGTTAATATTCGTATTCAAAAGTTTTCAGACACGTAACTGATAGGAATGAATGACTCGGGTCCATAAAAAATTAACGCTTGCCTGGAATCGGTTCCTTAAATTCAAAATATTATTTTTGTATTAATGAAATATTTTAGCTGTTGTGTATAAATGAAAAAATATATAATTTAGTAACTTAATTTAAGATACTTTTCCAAGACAGGCTTTAAAGTTATAATGGAAAGTATTGAATAGTAACTATCGAATTCGATAGTTAGCCAATCTATTCAAATAGTTTTTAAACTTTCGGTAGTTTTTTTAAATATTGATATTGTATGCTAAAAATAAACTATTTAGTTGCATAAAAAATATTCGATAGTTTAAAACGCTCATTATTACTTTGAATGGCTTTAATTTCTCTAAATGAAAATTTTACATGTAATCATCTAATCTAAATTTTTCTAGCCTCCAAAACATTTTACTGTATTTTCACCTATAATTAAATATGTATATATAGTTATATGCTGACGTTTCGTACTCGTTGCAGAGGCCATCTTGGAACTGTACTTACAAACTCAATATTGTAACTATACTGCTGGCTTATCTTGTTGACGGTATGTTTTTATATCAGTTAATGACTCATAACATCGATGTTGTTTATCTGTTGATTTTTTGTGGTGTTGTTGTTGACAACTGTCAGTTTGTTGTTTACGTCTAGTTTTTGTTGTTGTTTACGGCATTCTTGACAATTAGCTCTTCCTTTTGTTACACCGGAAATTTTCTGTTGTATTAATTGTAGTTTTTTCACACATTAAGTTATTTTCTTTTATTATTTGTTGATTTTCTTATTGCCTGGTGTATGATAGTTAACCAAGTCTGGCTAATAGTCCATCGAAAAATATCCAGAAAATTACATCGGAGAAGATTGATGAAAACTACAAATAAAATAAAAACTACAATAATTATAACAGAAAATTGACAGTATAAAAAAGGAAGAACTAAATGTCAAGATGCCGTAAACGTGAATACATCCATAAACATGCCAAGCAGTAGATATAGTTTTTTTTTTTATTGAGATTATGAAAAAGTCTTAGAAAGCCTTAAACATAAGTGTAACTTGAAAAATGTGTCTATGAATGAGACTACTTCATAATATTAAATAATAAATTTATAGAAAGTTTTACCACATTTCTTTATCACCTACTTTTCCCAAAATATTATCTTTTATTATAAGGACTGAAGCCATCACAGATCCATGATAACTACGCTAATAATCTTAAGCCTTTAATATATGTTTTTTTTTTAATATTATTTAATGGCCTCTCAACTAAAATATGTTAAGATTTTTCTTTTTATACGATGACCAGTGTGGTCACCCAGAAAATAATGGTTTCCAACTACCACTCTCCGCCGTCAGTAATCAGTTGTCGGGCATTGGTTGTAATAGTGTTTACCCGCGAATAGTCTCATGCAAAGTTTTGTTATAATTTATTAATGCTAAGAATTAATTATTAAAAATTGTTCACTTAGAAATAAACCATGTAATTTTAGCTAATTTTTCCTTTAATTCTTTATTTTTAAATTTAGTCTAAACGTTTAATTAAAAGGAAAAGTAATAGTTAACAGAAACATAATTTCTGTATGTGAGGACAGAAACCTGTATAGTTAAGCGGTATTGAAACGAACGTCGATACTTGACATCGAAGCAAAACGCGTTGCCGATCGATTAATACAGGCCGCCCGTATATCTTATCTTTATTTCTTTCTTTATAGACTATACTTTATTAAATAACTGAGTTTTATTGCACAATTGGTAATATAATACTTTTTTTTTAGAAGAACAATTTAATAAGCGCATATTTTATTATTTTTTTTTTGCACGTACTTGCGTTTTATTTGTCTCTTTTTAATTGAATATAAGATCGTGCTCTAATTATAATTAATTAAATAATATACAGAGTGATTCGTCCCTTCAAAGATAAAAAAATGAAACTTTAATATTCTTTATTGCGGGAAACTCTTATTTTTAATTTGTTGATAGAAAAAGAAAATTAAGAACAAAATCATTTGAAATTTTTTTTTATCCGATCAACAGTTTTCCTTT